GGTATAAAAAATTCGACCATTGCCGAATATAATTTTCTTATATCATACATAGTACCTGCTTTTTTTCTTTACTTTTATTGACAAATTCTATCGGTTTTTAGTCAGAAATTCAAATCAACTCAGAGGTCTTTACAGTTTTTTTCGAATAATACACGATTACACGACACTTAATGTCCATAGTCAACGATCCCTCAAACTTAATAAGCTTAAAACCGTCAGCGGTTTTAATCGAAGTTCGAACCCCTCTAGACTATGCATTTGTTTTTTAGGCTTTCTTTACATCGGGACCAAAGAATATTTATATTTTCCATCGAAACCGTATGGGCGAAATGTAAGCGTAATAGACCAAGTAAGCGTAAGTAGATTTTAACAAAATGAAAAAATGGCATGTTCAGCAGCTGGATATAAATTTACGTCGATGCGGGAACTGTTGTTCTAACATAACCTAATGTAAGTATAATATAACCAAAGAGTAACATATTTCAGCCCAATAGCCAATACGTTTGCAATTTGATAAAATTAAGTAAAAGAAATGCTGCGCAGACAATGTTTTGATGATGCTACCTGGTATATGCATCAGTGTTTCAAGATCGCAATTGTGACTTCAAGGTATGGATCAGGATGGGTAGAATATTTAAATGTAACAAAACTTTTGATAAACTTAATCTTACCTATGATGATAATTAAAAGACGTGGTAGTTGCTCTTAAGCTACGATAAACGAAAGCTAAAATAAAACTAATGAACACAAGAAAAGAGAATCTCAGAATGAAAAATGAGTAAACCGTAGAGTAACATAAGCGTAGATATATGCGCAAAAAAAGAAAAAAAAAAAACAAGAAGAAGAAGAAGAAGAAGAAGAGGAAAAACTGAGATCCGGCAAAGGCAGACAACGAATGTAGAAAAGAAAAATCCAAGTGAGCAACTTAAGTGTTATCTACTAACAACACACAGGGATAGCGAGCAACAATAATAAGCAAAATGTTAAATTGCTAAATAAGCCAACAACATGTTGGCCAACAAGTGAACAAATTTAGTCTGCAAATGAGCAGCTAAGTGAACGGTTCGTAAATATTAAGTGAAAGAAAACGCGTAACGTATACCAAAAACAAAAAGAAGAAACAAAAATCAAAAATAAGTGCAATACAAGTGAAGTAGTTGTTGCTTTGCTCTCTAACACAGTCACTGTTATAACCAAACAACAAAAAATGAAAAATTTAAATAAGTGTTGCATGGAATAACCAATATAGCACTTAACTTGGCTAAATCGAGTAAAAGAAGAAAAAGAAATATTTTTTGTTAACAAGAGTTGTTAGTAAAGTAAGAAAATAGAAAAAAAGGCAAAAAAAAAAATATATATATGTACATACATATATATATATATATATATATATATATATATATACTATAATTACAGTAATAATAATATTACTGCAAGAATGTACATAAAAATAGAATAAGGAAATAAATGAAATTGGAATAAAAATAAATAAATAAATAAATGAAAATAAAATAAAGCGAAATGAAAAGAAACATGAAATAAAGAAAAATACATTAAAACAAAACCGCTAAGAAAAATGCTAATATACGTTTTATAGCGAATCTTGAATATCCACTACTCAGATCGAAATTACTTTGCAGCTAAATCCATTTTACTAGATTAGCGTAGCGTAGCATACTGCGGCGTATACGTGATATATGAGCTAACTAAAAATGAATGAAATATTTCAGTATAGCACTTACAGATTTGGACGGAAACATAGACAATTCTCTCTTAAGACGAACTGACTTGCAATAGCAAGCAGCAGTGCTTCATGCTTCATACTTCTTTCGAATATTGCAAGGTTTAAATTCTCTTAAGTAGTAGGCATAGCTTTCAATATCTTCAAAGTTTTATCTCTTAACGAATTTTGCGATTATATTGGGAAATGGCCTTATAATGGAGACATGTACACCATTCGATTATATTAAGAATGGATTGCGATAGCACCAGGGCTTGCTTAGGCCAGACTAAGTCCATTAACCATTAGTTTTTTGCCTGGGAACGCGACAAGACTTGTTTTTTTCATGATTATAATCTAAGGATTATCTATATATTAGATAAATAATGTAATACATATATATATATATATATATATATATACCTATGTTTACGATTAATCATTACAAGGGCGGCAATGAAAAGACTCCTAAAACCAAATGGTTGATAAAGACATTGGAACTTGGAGGTTGGAATCTTGGAAGAAAGATAATTTTTCAACTGTCAGAAAATAAAAGCTATCTCAGATTCATGCAGAGGGACATTAGCTGGCACTAATTTGCCAAAAAAAGACATAAGTTCTTCACAACAACGTATTGGTATACTGCGCTGTAGATATATTGGTATTTTCCGAAAAAGCAAAATATTTCAAGAATGCTTAACTGTACCTCCTACAGCAACGCCGTAGTTTCTCACGGACACTCCTTATTTAGTCTCTTGCTCTCTTCTGGTTAGCTAGCACAAGAAAGTTTATTTCCAATATAGTGTTTTAATGATGTCGCGTCCCTCTAAAGTCTCTAAAGTGTTCTTTTTTTCTTTATCTCAAATTCGTATTGGGGGTTTGGATTTCAACTGATGGGAATATTTGATACCTGTGCTAGTAGAATATCTCTAAAAGGGTAGATTTTCATATATTATTCAAAGATTTTACATTAGTCGAGAAGAAAATACGATAAACTTCATACTCCAAGCATCTGATCTCAAGCCCAGTTCCGAGTTCTTTTATCCGAATACTTCTATATTAGTGCGAGCATAGAGAAAAAACCAGATGCCTTCTGATAGATCCCCTAAGTTTTACTAGGATAATGTGAACGTTTAGTATTGATGCCTCCTAGGTAGATCCCATATATCTGTAATATTATCTCTATATAATTTCTAATTGTCCATTGGTTCTTGGGTGAACCTGCAATTGGACATCTGTGTCCTCTAATTACGTCGCAACTAACGCGTCATTAACGTGGGTAGAATGAAATTTATAGAGCATAATACTTGACATCAAAACTTTATTGCACTTAGCAAGCTCCCCTACATACAGTTAGATCAATGTGAGTAATTATCGAAGCGATTTGTAAAAGAGTCCTACAAAAAACCTATTATGTCATTTCACTTGTTCTTAACAGACAAAGGATGTTCGTCCTTCTCTTTCGTTTTAACAGTTTCGAAATCGGAGCATTAATAAGCCAAGTCAATTAATCAACACTGAAAATGGATTAATCAATAAGATAAACAGTCCCTTAAGGACTCTGGGAGATACCGACTTGGCTTAACTGCAGTGCAAATGCAAGTACACTAAATACTCCATCCCATACGTAGCATCAAGAAACTGACATATTCATATCCATTCGATGTTGTATATATATATTTAATCATCTCCATTTACTCCTGGCTATCTAGTACTCAAACAAAATCCTGTTTACCCAACTGTCATAGCAGATGTAAGTGCGAAATTGTTGCGAACAATTTTTGAGAATTCGAAGCTCTAGACAAACTTGACTCCAAACTCTCCAGTACCAGGGTTACCTTTGATCTAAAGATTGAAGATGAAATGCTCATCACAGAATTATTTTTCCCATTTCTTACCAAGAATAAGACAAACAAAATCATAAACATTTGTTCCTTTACACCGCCTTGAGGCAGCTGAAACTGATACGAGTCCATTTTAACTATATACCATATTTGTTTGCTTGTGTGAAATAACACTTCAATTGTCTGCGATTTGTTCCCGGAGGAATAAATTCTGCAATCATTTTTAACTTCAATCGCAGGAACTTTATTTAGGTCGGCAGATAAGTTTTCATAAGAATTCAGAATAATTCTAATCGAGAAAAGGCATAGAAGTGCAGAGAAAGAAACGAATGCGATCGAACAATATGATGCAGCAATCGTGCCTGTACGAAGTCTATCTAAAAGCTTTGCCGTTCTTTGGGTAAAGCAATCGCTTACTTTGCACTTTGCACTTTACGCTTTACACTCTTCCTCCGAATTTCATTACAACTACCGTCAACACGGAACTTCCTGACACATTCAAAACATCATATAATAATACACGAAGAATTACCCGACACCCGTAGGATCAAAATCTTTCCGCTAAGGTTTATTTTATCATAGGTTTTCCAATGATCGACCGAACGGACGTAAATGTCCTGCTTTTTAGTAAAGATTTTATTTCTCTCGTATCCCATAGACTTCTGTAGAGAAAAGGATTGCTATGCCGATAAAGGCCTTTGACTTTCCTATGCCTACCCTGTCGCCAGTAACTCTAACAGACTAGCGGACATTTTTAGATCAATTTAACTCAATTTAATGACTGACTGAATATTATGCCTCTAATATATCGAAATTAGAGGCATAGCGTAGATCTGGATATTCTAGGCTTGGATCTAGCTATTATTGTGGCCATTAAAATACTATCGATGATGAACTGTTTAGGTAAAATCTTTATCAGTTTACCTATAACGAGAAATGCACTCTTCTTCATACCCAACTAAGTAGTCGACTTGTATTATAATGCTTAATATAGGCTAAGCGACCGACCTTGCGGCATACTTTTCTGGGTGATTGATATAATGTAATTGAATTTAAAATCAAATCGTTTGAAATGAAAAATTAAAACAAAAACGAGCATTAAAAAAATTAAATTAAATAATAACAAATCTGTTAAATAGGTGTTAAAAAAAAAAAAAAAAAAAAAAATTTCCACATAAAAAATAAATATATATGAAAATAAAAATAATAAAATCGAGATAATAAAACTTGTTAAATATTCATTACTATTACAAAGATTTGAAATTATTACGAAGTGTATTTTTCTTTATATTATATGTCGCATTAGTATTAGTGTGGCTTTTCATGTTTACGTGAACGTTAAAGAAAACCGTTTTCATTCATTCGTTTTTCGTTGATTTTCTTTACATTTATCACATTTAACATTAATTAAAATTAGTAATAAAAAAAAAATAAAAAAATTATAGAAGAAAAGAAGCTAATTAAAAAAGTAAATAAATAAAATTTTTTCCAAAAATTTTTCTTACCTCAACAGTCTGCAAGCTTTATGCATCAAATATAAATATAAATATAAATATATTATTAATGCAAAATTTTTTTTCTTTTTCAATATATTTTTGTTAGTGAATTTTCAAAAAAAAAAATTGAATTTAAATATTTGGATTAATTAATTAAAATTTCACATTATCGTCTCCATTTCCATATTTTAAGGTAAGTTTTAGTAAAACAAAAAGAAAAACTTCTTCCATCATAACATTGAATATAAAGCAAAATTGCAAACATTTTACTTAACTATGCGTTTCAATTTCTAAATCCTACAACAATTGAATATTTATTCAATTTATTTTATCTTTCTCTCTCTCTCTCTCTCTCTCTCTCTCTCTCTCTCTCTCTTTCTCTCCCTATCTGTTTAACTACCAAAATGAGTTTTGCAAAATATTTCAAGCGTTGCAAAGCGTTTAGCATGACTTTTATTTTCAAAAAATACATCAATTTTAGTTTTTTTTTTTTTTTTATGTATAAATGTTTTTAATTTTTTTCCAATTTTTTTTTTTTAATTTTTTCTTTTTTGTCTTATAATCATAAATAGCAGATGTATTGGCTCTTTGTGCTCTATATGCGAGCTTCAAAAATGTATCAAGTTTCTTATCGCTGTATAGACATGTCCGTCTGCTGATTTTGGCAAAAATTGCTTTGAAAAAAATCGGATGAAATAGAGAATTGAATCGATTTCGGAATCGTTTAGCAAAACCCGATCTCTTGCTAATCTTATTATGAAATGGAAATTGAAAACTTTAACAGCGACCTCGTGTACATACGGATAAATTGTGTTTTGTTTTTGCCTTCGAGGAAACTCATTTTCATTATCATGTTTAACGATTATGTCATAACATTTATTATGCTTTAAATTGTAGAAAATATGCTAAGACAACTTTTTGATCGGCATTAATCGCGGTTTGGCACGATTCGCTCTGTTTAGCAAATAATTACATATCTTGTGAAAATATTCAAATCGTCATAAATACTCGTTATCATGACAATAATGTAAAGAACTTGAGAAAGCGAAGGAAACGCAACAAATGTTGTGTATGCGTTAATAGAGTTGATGGTAACTCAATCTTGTGGACTAAGCGATCCATGTTCTTAGAAAAAGACGTGTTTGTGTTACCAGCTTGCGACAAGTACTTTATCCATACGGAAGAGTTGAATCTGTGCGGTGCCTGCTTATTAGTGTGTTGAATGTACTTCGAGATAACAGAATTTACTGATCCAAAAAACTTAGGGAAACTGGCTGATAGATTCGTAAGAAAGCAAAATGTATGCGGGTATGTCTATAACCAGTTTACGGTGTTTTTTAATTTTTATTATCATTATCAGTTTTCAAGAAAACAGTGTAATGCACCTAACGGTTAATGAACCAATAAAGCTTCTGTAAATAAATTTCGATTAGTGGGTGTCCATAATAATAATTTAAAAAAAAAAAAAAAAGTTTTTTATGTCCTCTATTCGCGTAACGCCGTGACAGCCAGAAAGAAGAAGAAAGGCCAAGATATAGCGAGGTAGCCGCGGTCTACCCTGGTCTGTGTGCCCAATTGATAAGTGCCTTATACCTTTACCAACTGAACACTTGATATAGCTACGATGAAAATAAACTTTACCGCTCTCAGATGTGAACCCGCGGAAACTGACTTATTAATCGCCGCCATTCTTGCAGATAATTGGCGAATATCGAGAGGTTCCTCTTCAATTGCATTCCATTTCTATGTTCCATATATCAGCGATTAACATATGCCCACTTTAGAGAGTTGGAAGAGTTTGAAACCAACTTGAAAGACAAGTTTTAGTTAGTTAAGTTTTTACCTCTTACTAAAGACAAGTTTGGGAGTAAATAGATAGCCGGCGAATTTAGCTTAAAGCATCCAACAAGTTTCACACCAAAGATAGACTGACTCTTCAAAATTCAGCTTAGAATATCGAGCAACTGTCATCCGGACGACAAACTGATTCTTCGAATTGAGCTTAAAATAACGAAAGACTGAGTCTTGGCTTAGCTTGGCTGAGCATGCCAAAAACCCACTAAATATCCAAATTTAGCTTAAAATATTAAAGAAATTTCATATCAAAGACAGACTGTGTTCAGAACAAAAGTTGAATTCAAAAAATATCCGGAATTAAAAAACTGAATACTTACAAAAGTACGAATAGAGTCAATTTGTTCCAAGTCTTCAAAAGATATGTTGGATATCATAAAATATGTTGTATATATATATATATATATATATATATATATATACATATACATATGCATATAAGCATTTCATTTTTATGGTATGTAATTTTTTCGTTTTTTTTGTTTTTTGTATATAAACAATTTTTCTATTGTAAAGTTTGTTAAATCATCATTATTGCTATTATTATAATAAATTTTTTTTCATTTTCTTATTCATGCGAATTTCACCTGCGTTTATTATTGTTTTTAATGCTATTTGTTTATTGTTGTGTTATGATTTTTCTTTTGCCATGTAATACAACGACAAATGCATTCATTGCTCGGTTAATTCCTTGTTTTATAGCAAAGCAATACAAATTTACGTAAATTTTTCCTATCAATAAAAGTAAGAAACAACAAAGAAATTTTATTTAGCTTAGACCGAATTCATTAATACTCACCGTTAAGTTCTGCGCTTGTTGCTTTTGAATTTAATAAAAATCAATGCTTATACAAACGTAAACTTTTCTATGGCATAAATTGCTTATGGTAACACAGTCTTTGGGTCGAAAGACATCAATGCACCAGACTTCATAAAAATATCTCGATAATTGCGGTCTGTAGATTAAACTCAAGAAAAGAACACAGGCAGTCACGCAGACGGCCGGACAAGTGGATAAATAGGATCAAGGTGTTCCATCGACATCCGCACAAGCTTAATAAAGTCCATATATAAGGTACCCCAAATAGTGTAAAAATGAAGAGTTGAAATTACGTTGCCAGAAGTGTACGCCCACTATTAAGAGTAACTACTACCAACAATTATGAATATTATATTCGTTCGTGACCGAATCTTGTATACCGATCACAAATATCGTAAAAAAGACAACAAAGTAAAAGAACTAGAGAGAGAAAGAGGCGAGACTGACTTTTTTCTATTTGCAGAGTAAAAGTTTTTGTCGCATAAGCGAACGTTTAAGTCGCTTTGTAGACAATATCTTTGTTTTCGTCAACGGAAAAAGGTTTACCACAAATACTACGCAGCTGCGCAGATAGACAGCTGGACAGACGAACGAGCGGACATGTTTAGGTGCATTCCAAATTTGAAACTGGCTTAGAATTTATATCTTTTAAAACTTAAAATTTATAAACTAAAAAAATCAATTTTAATAACACCATAACATTGGATAGGCGTAGCCAATTTTTGACATGTTTGTGGACAAACGCTACCACATCGCCCATAGAATATGCGTTCAAATTTTTGTACATTATTTTGCTATAGTTAATGAGTTTGTTCCTTTTTTTTTCCTTTTGAAAAAAAACAAGGTGTCCTCACTATACATAGTGCTGTAGGTGTGTCCTTCGATTGATTTTGGCCACTTTTGAGACCAATCTGCGTGCAAGCACTTCCAATGTTTCTACTAAATCTGAAGTTGATAGCTTCACTTGTGCGGGCAAGATTTCAGCATTTGATGCTGATCAAGGATATATATACCTTGTGGGGTTTCTGACGCTCCCTTCTGGGCGTTGCAAACGGTTTGACAAAATGAATATACCCGCCATCCTTTGGTGGTGGGCATAAAAATTAAAGATATACTTTATGAAAAATACAATAAATCCATTCTTTTTCTTAAATTTTCGATCAAAGCATTCACGCATTAGACTTGTTATCTTAATTAAAATGAATTAAATAAATATAACTTACCAGTTTTTGGCAAAATAAATCGACAAGTTGCCGCTTATCCTGTGCCACAGAGAAAATTTGATTTACATGAACACGCAAATTTCACCATATAACATCAAATCACGCAAAAAAAAGAAGAAGAATCAAGAAAAGTGGAAATGTCAACGCATTGCTTTACCTTTTTGCTATTTGATTAATTATTAATTTAACACTTAATTACCCATTAATGAGTATCTCTTTCTTCTGTCGTCCGGCAATTTAATCACTAAGTAAACGATTATTTACAAAAATTCGAATTTAAGATTTGCAATTTCGTCTGCTAAACTAAGAATTGCAAGATAGAAAATTATCAAATAAAACTAAAATGTCAACAGAGAGTAAATAGCTAATGAGAGAGTAGAATAAAAAAATAAAAAAGAGAGCATCTATGATATTGTAGATCTTAATGTGCATTTGAAGCTTTGCACATGCATTACACTTTCTCATGTGGAATGAATGAATTTGGCCGAATTTAAATTCTACATTCAGCGTAGATAGAATCCACAACACAATACATGAGCGATTTAATAGAAGTTAATGATAAAGCAGAAAAAAACCCAATAGAAATGCACAATAAAAGACACTAAACTGCAAGTAATATAAAATAAAATCAAAATATGAATGAAATGAAAATAATATAAAATAAAATATAACTAAAGAAATTGTGAAACCCCTAAAGCAAGGTATAATTAATAGATTTTCCAAGTGTTTGTGACGCATGGAAATAAGCGCATTGAAGTATAAATTATGCATATATCCCCTGAATCTTGTAAATAACGAAATCGTTTTAGTTATGCCATGTTAGTTATTTCATAGCCTCTCCTCACTCGGAAGCACGAATGTGATATCAAATTTATTTTCTAGCCTATGGTCGATTAAGTTAATATCGGCGCAGAGATTTGCAAATGGGAAATCTTCAAAATCTTAAAGCGAGCTAAAAAATTGTCTATAATTACAGAGTAACCAAATTATAAAGGAAGAAAAGGATTATAAATACGTAATGCTCGTATATATATATATATATATATATATATATAACAATATTTGAAGAAAATGCCACCAAATTTGAAATATTAAGTGTTTGGTGGTATTTTGATCATATTTTCACTTGGAAAGGGGATTTATTGAGATAAACTGGTACAAAAGGTATTAATCAAAATGTTTTCCATCATTTTCTACAACTTTTCCACATCCCTCCGGCAATACGACGCTACCATGTCGAAAGAACTATATTGGCTTGGCAGTGATCGGATCGACTCATTTTCGCACCAGAGCTAC